TTTACTTATTCAGTGCTATACCAATCAAACTCCCAAAAGAATAGTTTATAGACCTGGGGGTGGCAGGAAATGATGAAACTCTTATGGAGGAAACTTTTGATCAAGAATCTCAAGGGTGTTTTTATCAATGCAAGGATCTAAGACATCTCCAAAGGCCTCATGATGGAAAATGCTATCCACATCCAGAGAAAGAACTATGGAGTTTGAATGCAGATCAAAGCGTTCTATTTGCTATTTTTTTTTTCTTCTGTTGTGTTTTGTTTCCTCTTTCTGGTGGTTCCTCCTATTGGTTCTAATTCTTCCTTACAACATCACTAATGTGAAAATATGTTTAATAGGAATGTATATGTAGAGCCTGTATCAGATTGTGAGACATCTTGGGGAGGGGGGGAGGGGGAGAAAAATTTAAAACTCAAAAGCTTATGGAAGTGATTGTTGATAAACCAAAATAAATTAATTTTAAAAAAAGAATCTCAAGGGTAATAATGAAAAATAATGGGGAAGGAAGGGAACCATATCTCAAACTATACTACAAAGTAATAATCATTAAAGCAATTTGATACTGGTTTAAAAAATATAAGGACTATTAGTGGAACAGAGCAGATACACAAGCAAGCAAAAACCCAAAGGCCTCAGATACTGAGTGAAGGACTTAACCTATATAACCTATACAACAAAAACTTCTGAAAAAACTGGACATCAGTCTGGCAGAAATCAGCTTTAGACAAAGATTCCACACCATATGCCAAGATAAGCACCTAATGGATATATGACCTAGATATAAAAAGTCACATTGCAAAACAAATTAGGACAAGGAAAAAAATGTTTTTTTGTATCTATGTATGGAATGGGGAAGAGTTCATGTTTAAACAAGCGATAGAGAGGATCACAAGTTAAAATGGACAATTTTGATTATGTAAAATTTAAAAAGTAAACAAATTCAGTACAGTAAAAAATTAGGAGGGGAAAAACAGGGAGGGGAAATCTGTACAAATAGCTTTTTTGATGAAGATCTCATATCTAAGACGTAAGGACCTGATTTAAATTTATGACTAAGAGCCATTCCCCAGTAGATAAATTGTTCAAAAGAAGAGGCAAAAGCTATCAGCAATCACATGAAAAAAGTGTTGTAAATCACTAATGATTAGATCAATTCAAAATAAAGCAACTTGGGTTCTAGCTCATGCCTATTAGGATAGCAAAGATGACAACCGATGAAAATATACTGAGATGCAGCTGAGTATTGATCCAGCCACAGTGGATAGCAGCTTGGACCAGTGTCCAGAAAGAGGCCCAATATATCACCTTTTGACTCAGTTATACCAGTACTAGGTCTATACTCCCAAAGAAATCAAAGAAGGAGGAAAAGTATCTGTATGTAGAAAAATATTTATAACAACTATTTTCATAGTAGTCAAAAGCTGGAAACTAAAGGAGTATCGTCTCAATGGGGGAATGGCTAAACGAATTGTGGTATAGAAATGTAATGGAATATCAGGGTTGGCTGACACCTGGGTGGTCATCTAGTCTAGATGACATCTAGAAATGATGAGAGACAATTTCAGAGGAAACAGTAAGACATGTATGAATTGCTGCAGAGCAAAGTGAACAGACCCAAGATACTAATTTATACAATGACAGCATTATAGAGAAAAACAACTTTGAAAGACTAGGACGCTGATCACCAAAATGATAAACCACAAGTCCCAGAGAACGAATATGAAACTCACTCCCACCCCTCCCAGTAGAAAGGTGAGTAACTTAAAATGCAGAAAGAGACGTGCGTTTTTGGACATGGCCAAAGTAGGAGCTGGTTCTGCTGAACTGTGTTTGTGTGAATGTAGGGATTTGCCTTTTGGGTTTGGTTTTGTTTGGGGGTTTTTTTGTTCGAGTGGAAGGGATGGGAGTGGGAGAGACATATTAATAAAAAAGCAATGCTTGTTAATTGAAAAAAATAAGATTAAAAAAATGCAAAAGGAGGGTTGGGCCTGTCAATCAGTAGGGGTAGACATGACAAAGAAAACACCAATAAACCATTTTGAAAAGGAACCCAGAGGAGGGAAGGGCGCAGAAGACACAAAGCTACCGATAGAGTCATCTGTTAGTCTGTCACCAAGCTTTTATACATACGTATACACATACATAGATGTTTTTATAACAAACTGTTCAGCAGAAGCTCATAGTTTCTTGTATAGTTCTCTTCCCCCTACCTTTGCGTGTCTTGAAATGGTTGTGATTGTTGAGTTCACAATAAGAAAGAAAAGTTAACTTAAAAAAAAGAACCATTGGCTTAGTAGTAAAATCTGCTTATTTTACAGATGAGAAAACAGAGGCCCTGAAAATTTGTGTGACTTGCTGAAAGGTCCCATAGTTAGTAAATTATAGAGTCTGGATTGAAATGCACATTTTCAACTCCAACATTCTTTCCACCAGACTGTGAGACTGCAGTGACCATGCCCCAGGGAGCTTCTCTGATGATGAGAGAGACACTGCCCCTGCCCTCAGGGATCCCCTGGTCTAATGGGGTGGTAGCAGCTCCTGCCTTTGGGGGGCCCCTAGTATGATGGAAGAGTCACAGGCCATGCACTCAGGGAGTTCCTAGTCTGAGGCAGTTCTGCCATAATCCTCTCTAAAGTGCTGGGCACACTTAAAAAATGCTTTCTGTCGGTCAGGTATTCCCTCTGTGAATCTATGCTGCTTTCACTCTCCAAAGCTCTTTCCCAGATTGGAGAAAAAAGGGGCGTTCTCCTGCAGTGTAATGAGAGGGAAACTGAGGTCCTGTGTGGGTAGGGCCGTGGCCCAAGGCCTGAGCTTGGTGAATTCTGGAAGCCAGGTAGCTTGCCTCGAGGCCATCCCAGCCCTTCCCTTCAGGCCTTGGGCAGAGAGGTGACACAGCCCCGAGAAAGTGCACAGCTGGGTGGGGACCAGGCAAAGAAAATTCCAGAGTTCCACAGGAGCCTCAGGAGAAGGGAAAAAACTTACTAAGGGGAATGTTTCCGTGTGTGTATGTGTGTGTTTTCTTTCCAAAGTGCAAACAAACCTCTCTTCTGTGGTATGGCCCATGGCACCAGAGCGGAGGGAGCACTGTGGGTCCCAGGCCTGACCCCCACCCCTGGCCAGGAGCTGGGGCTCTGGGGGAGGGGGCACCTAGGGAAAGGAATGTTGGCTCTTAGCACTGGTCACATGGGTCGGAAACCCAGGCGGGATTCCTCCCTCCCGCAAGGGTGGGATCCTGCGTCAGTCTACCCTCCATGGGGGGTCAGGGGACTCCAGTCCCAGTAATTAGATAGCAAATGGTTGGCGGGAAGAAGGGCAAACACTGAGGCTGTTTGTCCTGGGTCTCAGGGAGGTGGTTTGGATGGATATCAGGGACCGCCACCTTTTCCAAAACAGGCCAGGCCTCACTGGCCTGGCTGCCCAGGGTGGCCTGAGAAGGAGGCCAGGGATGGCTCTGGGGAAGGAGATAGAACCAGAGTGAGAACAATGGGGCATGTGCCCCAGGGAACCCGGGGTGCAGACGCACATGTCCCTGGTCCTGGTGTCTGCCCTGGGCTTCCACGCTCTGCAATGCTCCAGAGCCTCCTGGCTTCCACTGTTTCCTCTCTAACCCATAACCTCATATCTCATAGAATACTTCCTCATATATTTCATAAGCCGGGAGCCAGAGGAACTGGGTTCAAATCCCACACCTGCGTGATCTTGGTTTCTTCTTCATAAACATAAGGGAGCGGGCTCTGGATTCCATTCCAACTCTTATGATTGTAGTTTTATCTGCTGATAGATGCTGCCAACGCTACCGCCCTCGTTCTGACCCTCCTGATCTCTCTCCTGTTGCTCCAAGGAATGGTGACACCAGCACCCTCCTCCACGCTTGGCCCAAGAAATTTCCCCTGGGAGAAGTCTGGTTGAGATTTCACCCTGAACAATCTATAAAATGAGGAGTAAGGGACCCCTGTGACGTTGGGAAAGACTTAGATTAGACAGAGACCTTCCCAGGCATAGCATGGGGTGGTGTCAAAGGCTCTGTATCTGGTCAGTTGACCCGAGCCCAATGCCAGTTTTGCTATTTGCTACCTGTGTAAACCTAGACTTCCCTTCTCTCTGCCTCAGTTTCCTCCTCTGTAAAATAAGTTAGACTAGTGGATTTCTAAATGCCCTTCTGGCTTTAAATGCTTCGATCCCATGAAATGAACTCTGGGAGTGGGGAAAACAGTGGAATCTCCTCACAGATCTTCATTAGGCCCAGACCACCTGCCCGCAGCCCCCTCCCTCCAAGATCAGCTCAATCTCGACCTGTTTCCCACGGGCCATTCCTGATTCTCACAACTGCCAGTCTTTCTTCCCTCTCCGGATTTCTTTGTGGATCTTTGTCTATACTGCATCCCTCCCAGAAAAGCGTAAACCCTTGAGGGCAGAGACTGTTTTGTTTCTATCTCCAGCGCCTGGAACAACACCTGGCACCTCATTGGCACTTAAATGCTTGCTGGCTCTTTAAGAAAAGGGAAGGGTTTGGGCTAGATTAGAACTAGGAATCCTTGTTCCCAGGCTCCGGAGCACAAAGTGAGCCTGGAAGGAGGAGCATGAAACACGACCTTGAATCAGCAATCAGGTGGGATAGACGCTGGGATACACAGCCCTGGGAGAAGAGAGGTCCCAGGACCTCCAGGGGCCATGCTGGAGAGGAGGGGGGATGGCCAGAGAGGGGAAGGGGCTCACCGAAGATGAGTCTACCAGGGAAATCCTGTTCTGGGCTTATTTTCATTAAGCAGTGTTGCTAACTAGGTACTTAGCTCATTTGTCTCTAGAATCTGAAGAATCTCATAGCTGTCAGTGCCCCCTAAATTAGGGTGTCCTGGGACAAAGTCCTGGTGACTTCACCCTGGTTCTAGCTCTGGTTATGGGGTGGTACCGCCCACAGGCAGGTGAAAGGATGGCAAAGGGATGTTGCGTTCACCCCACTCCCATGGGGCTCTGGAAAGAAAAGCCAAAGTCCAAAAAAATGAAGGAAGGCCAGGCAGAATCCCCTCTTTTTATTATGGAAGTCTGTAAAATAGCCACATGGATTATGTTTGAGATCACAAATCGCACAACATTCATTTTTAATATGCCACACGAAATATTATATACATATTAAAAACCACACAACAGAGAACACACTCACACACACAGCACCAGCTCCATTAACAATGACCAAAAAAAACCACAAAAACCAAACACAAGTGCGCTCTTTGCTCAATATTAAAAAAAAACCAACAAAAACAATCGCGATAAAAACATATTAATATTTTTGAACCACGTTTACAATAATGGGGGTAGGGGGTCATATTTTACTAAATAACAAATATTTAACAGCAAAAAAAAACCCTTTATACTAAATATCTATTTTGAATTATAACAAAAATAGTACTTATAATAGTTTATAAAGACAGACAAAAAAACAAATTATAACATTTCTGCAACCAAAAACATTGGTTTTTTTGTGTATAAAATAATATTATAGCAAATTGGGCAGGGTTGGGATGGTGCGGGGGGGGGGGCGCGCCACCACCAGGGCCCCGACATCAAAAGTGCTTTATTCTGCAAACCCACTGCAGGGGTGGCTTTGTGTGTGAGGGCGGAGGGGCTGTATTTGTTAGGATGCCCCCATCTAAATCTAGTGCTAAAAGACACACGCACATGCAGAGATACATGTGTGTACACATGGATCTGGGCATACAACCAAGCTGCAGACAGATGGATGCTTCTGGCCTAAAACTGAAACCAGCCCATCAAGCCAAGTGCCTTGGGTCCACTCTTCCTTCTCTTTCCTTCCTGGCTTCTCTCTGCATTTGTACTGGGTCCCTGGTTCCTGCCCAGCCACCCACTTAACCCTCTGCCCACCAAGCTCCTTGAAGAATCCTCCACCCCTTTCTTCTCCAGTCTCCTGAAAGATAGAGGTGCACCCCCAAGTCCTGGCTGGTTTGCATCATGTTACCCAGAATGCCATTCTTCAAGGTGACCCTGCACTAGGGTTCTTAGACTTTGAACCCATGGTTTATGGAGCTGCAGAAGAATGGGATGGGGTGGAAAAGAGCCGAACAAGGTAGGGGTTGGGAATGGGAGAGGAAGCCCAGTGAACAACATCCCGCTTTGTCCTGGCCACCCCTTCTTCCCCGCCCTGACTTCCTAGCAGACAAACCTCACCCACAGGTGAGAGGGACCTTGGTACCAGGCACACCATCTGCGGGGTACCCGGAACCCTCATTTAGTAACTGTTTCTCAGAGCTCCCTTCCATTTCTGTCCTTAGTCAGTAGGGAGACTCTAGCAGGGAGGCTTCAAGTCAGATTCAAAGAAAAGGGGGCTTGAGTATTTCTCCTCCTTCCGCTTTGTCTTCCCCTCCTGGAGCAGAGGCTAATGGGCCAATGGCATGAAGGAAATATGGACAAGGGAAGGGTCTGGGGAACCTGGTGGAAGAAGAGACAGGGTAGGGATAGAGGGTCAGCTCCCTCTCAAAGAAGCGGCCCTATCCCCGTCCCCTCTGCTCTGAATTCACCCACCCAGAGAGAGAGGGGGAGAAAGGGGGACTTAGGTCAGGGCACGAGGTCAAAGCGGCCTTTGAATCCCCAGAGGGTTGGCATTTCTGTAAGAAGGGCTCGTGGTGACAGGTCACTTGCCTGACTATGCAGGATGCATACTCCACCTGCAGCAAGAAGGCCTATGGTTAGACCATCAGAAGAATGCTCTGACCTAGGGAAGGGTGTCAGATAGTGGATCAGGGGGCCAGGGCTTGGGGCAGATCATGATTTCCTCCTCCTCTCTCTCAGGAGATCATTAAGAATAGGGCTATGGTTGGGAGGCAGGGGCAGTGGAGGAGACAGACGACCTCTCCAGTCCTGCAAATTCTAGGCATCCCTGGGACTCATTAATAAATATAAGGGCATGGCATGGGGAGGGGCTTATTAGCGCAAGTGCTCTCAGTGGCAGGGGTTGGGCGTGGGGAGGGGAGTCTGGCTCAAGGCTGATAGGTGGGGAGAGTGAAGCTGAGTGTGCTCACCCTGGGCATCCAGGGCCAATGCTGGGGGCGGGGGTAGGTGGAGGAGGGGGGAAGAGAGGGGAAGAGTAGCAGCAACAGGTGATTTCAAACGTCCAAACTGGCAGTGAGGGGCCCTAATGGAACTCACAGCCACTTTGGCTCACCACCTCCCAGGGCTGTCACCCAGAATGCCTTGCTGCAGGGTAACCCCCAAGCCTGGGGAGGTTCTGAGGGGCTCAAGGCCTGGTCTGAGCAGTGGTAAGAGGTGGGGGTAGAGCAGGTCTTGTTGGGGGATGGGAAATAAGCTAAGTGGGTAGCTCCCTTCCCTGCACTTTAGACCCCTCCTCACCCCAACCCAAAGGAGAACAGAAACAAAATGCGGCATTGGGGGGAAGGGAGGAGGGCAGGGAACAATGTGGAACAACAACATCAAAAAAACACTGTTAACACCACACGTTTAACACTGTAAGGGGCATGCGGGTCACCAGCAGATCACGGTCTACTCGGTGCTGCTGCAGCACCAAGCGATTCCACCCCATGCAGGGAGGAAGGAGGGGCTGGGCTGGGGGAGACTAGGGAAAGTAGAGGGGAGTCAGAGAAGGAAAATCAACCCCTTGCTCCAAAAGGAAGGGACGGACCCTCTTCCCAGCCCCTTATGGTGGGGATGACCCTTTTGGCATCGGCCACAGGGTGTGGGCCACCAAGGGAAAGGAGAGAAAAGCTAGCGATCCTCTCTCCTCCCCCCTCAGCCTTTTCTCTTTGCTTCCAGGGTCCCCCCCTACACTGACACAGGTTTCCTTGTTACCCCCCCCCCATTACTTTACCGGCTCCCCTCCCCACCCAAGCTATGGGAAGGCAGAGGGGGAGGGGGAGGACATCACTAGGGAGCCCCATTAGACGGTGGCCCCCAGCATGGCCTCGGTCTCGGTGAGGATCTTGTTCTGGTTGGAGTCCAGTCCGAAGAACTTCACGCTGAGGCCATCCACAGGGTGGAGGACGGGGACCAGGGAGATCCGCGGGAATGTCCGGCTGGCCAGCTCGAATCGACTGGTGCTGGCCAGCTCTACCGCCAGCACCTTCAGGAAGAGCTTGGCCAGATGTTTGCCCAGGCACGTCCGGACGCCGCCGCCAAAGGGGAGGTAGTGGAAGCGGCCATCTTTGTCTTCACTCCGAGCCTGGCTGAAGCGGTCAGGGTCGAATACATCGACGTCCTTGAAGACCGGCGCGGTGTCGTGTGTGTCCCGGATACTGTACATCACGCTCCACCCTTTGGGGATCTGAAAGCCCTGCGGAAGGATTAGAACAAACGGGAGAAGGCCATTGAGAATGGATCTGGGAGGGAAGTAATCAGAGGAGCCTTAAAAGCTGGGTGATGACCAGGGCGTGGGATCCTACGGCTCAAATGGACCCCAAACGTTGCTAGCGCAATCTCCTCACTTTACAGAGAAAGAAACTGAGGCCCAGAGAGGGTAAGTCATTTGCCCAAGGTCACACAACTCGTAAATGACAGAGCAGGGATTCAAATCCAGCAGCCTTGAGTCCAAAGGCCAGAGCATACTCTTTCCAGGAGACTGGAGATGGACTATCTGCCCCCATCAGGCCAGGGGCTCCCTCTCCCCTGACAGCCCACACTCACGTCTAGCTCGAAAGTCTGCAGCACAGTGCGATAGCCACCAGAGATGGGCGTGAAGAGGCGCATGACCTCCTTGATGACGCAGTCCAGGTAGCGCAGGCCGATGAGGGTGTCCAGCCTCAGGGCACCCTCGCACACACAGCCATTATGCAGGATGCCGTTAACTCGTAGCTCCTCCCTCAGTTTTTCTAGCACGTTGGGGTGCTTCAGCAGCTGCATGATCAGGGAGGTGCTAGCGCTGGCCGTGGTGGCATAGGCCGCAAAGATCAGCTCCAGGGTCCCATCCTGCAGTGGGCACGGAGGGCATGGTCAGCACAAGGATCCACTGAGCGGGCACTACCCAGAATCCCCTCTTCTGGCCCCAGAGCTGACGGAAGGCCCCTCAGCTATCCCTGAGGCACCTTTGGGGAAGGAGCAGCTGACCCTTGCACCTAGAAGTCTCTTATCCCAACTGTTCTCTTCCCACCTGGTGCCACCAACTCACTTGAACTCCCAGAGCTTCCTCCTCTATAAGACCTGAGTTCAAATCCTGCCTCAAATACTTCCTAGCTACTTGATCCTGGGAAGCCACTTTGAAATTGAAGCCTCTGTGCCTCAGTTTCCTCATCTGCCTCCCTCTGACATGATGTGATCCTAGTACATCAAAGGGCAAGTCCCTTCTGCTTGCTGAGCCTCAGTTTCCCCTGCTGTCAGATGAGAGAGCTGGGATCAACTGCCTCTGAGACCCCTCCCAGACCCTGGGCAGGGCTCTGCCCACCTTCAGCTCTTGCATAGTCATGTCCTTGCCATGCTCTTTGCTGCTCTCGATGAGGATGTCCAGGGCATCCGAGTAATCCTTGCCCTGTGTGCTCTGCAGTTTCTCACGAATCGCCTTCTCCAGCCCTTTCTGCAGGGTTTGCCGGGCTTGGATGCCCTACAAGGGAAGGGAAGCCTTCAGGAATGCGGGCACCACTGAGGGAATGAGAAGGGAGCCCAAGCTCCCCCGTTGTCCCCGAGACAAGGTTACGGGAAGGTAGCAAGGGCACAAGGGCAGTGATGCCGGCGGACACAGTCTCAGGGCTAGAGAAGAGTCCAGCCTATCTATGCCCCAGCCTCAGCCTACGAGGACTCTCATGTCCAGCTTTCCCAGAAGGAGATCTTTCTTGAAAGGATCTGGGCACACATCTTCCCCACAGGATTCTGATTTATCTCACTCAGAAATGCCCAGAAGACCCTCAACTTCCAACCCCAACCCACTCCATTATTTCAGGCTTCTTCTCTGCCCTCTGCATGTCCTGGATAGGTATGCCCCTGTAGCTACCTCAGAACATAAGACCCCTCTGTGAGGAGGGGGCCTTGCCCTCAGACTAGGGGCCCTTGCTTACTCCAACCTTCCCCCCTGGCTTCAATGCCCAGTATGGCGCCCTTGCCCTGAGAATGTGCTCAGGACCAAGGTGCTGGACTCACCCGACGGTAGCCACTGAAGGGCAGGTCGACAGGCAGGGAGAAGACATTCTCTACAAATTGCTGGTAGACCTCGAAGAGGTGAGTGAGGTCCTCCTCGGGGATACTGAAGCCCAGGAGGACACGGATGGCCATGCGGAAGGTGAGTTTCTGGGCCTCCTGGTAGACATTGATCGCATCAGGGTTGCTGCTCCAGGCCCTCAGAGTGTCTTGGATCACCAGCTGGATTTTGGGGAGATAAGTCTCCAAGGCTTCGTGGCTGAAGATCTTGGAGAAAACCTACAGAAGAGGAGCGATCCAGAGCCTTGACCACCTGGCAGTCCCCTCCTACCTTTCTGGTCTTCTTCTATTTTACTCCCTGTCCACACACACACACACACACACACACACACACACACACACACACCCCTCCATCTCTCACTTCGGGGCCTTGGCACTAGCCCAGAATGTACTGCCTTGCTACCTGGGCTTCTTGTACTTCTGGGGATGAGAGTCTCAAGCCTTAGCTGAAGATGTTCATGAAACCTTTGCTGGCTTCCTCAGCTCCTAGAGCTCCCCCAATCCAAACTCTCTCGTGTTCATTCAGTAGAAGTCCTATACAGAGGCAGGCATGTTATCCTCGACAATAGATTGTAAGCACCTGGAGGGCAGAAATTGGTTTGCTTTTGTCTTTGTATGCTCAACACAGAGCTGGGTGCCTGGCCAGCATCACGCACTCAATCAATGCCTGTCTGTTGATCGACCAATTGAACACTTGCCCTTGTTTCCTGATGGCCCCAACAAGAAATAACTGGAGGCCCTTTTCATTTCTCACGAGCTCTTCTGTGGATTTTCCCTGTCCTTCTCCTATGTGGTTTGTGTTAAAGTGTCCTTGTCTGTCATGTCGTTCAGTCATTTCAATCATGTCTGACTCTTTGTGACCCCATCTGGGGCTTTCTGGCAGAGGTACTGGAGCGGTTTGCCATTTCCTTCTCCAGATCATTTTACAGATGAAGAAACTGAGGTAAACAGGGTGAAGTGACTTGCCCGGGGTTACACAGCTAGTCAGTGTCTGGTCAATTTGAATTCCAGTCTTCCTCGCTTCAGGCCCAGCAGTCTATCCACTGTGCCATCTATGGCTGCCCATCTATGTCTTAAGCCCCCCCATTAGACCATAAGCTCCTGAAAGGCAGGAAATAAGGGCAGGAAATGTGTCTTAGCTCATCTTTGTATTCAACTCAATAAGCCTTTAGTAAATAATTCCAGGCAGACTTAGGCACTAGTGATAAATAGACAAAGCTGACCAAAGCCATTCCTGCCCTCAAGTCTACCTTCTAACTCTAGGGTACAACATTGGCCTGAAGACAAAAGATAGCAGTTGTGATGAACACTGGCTAGCCTTAGAGGCCAACATTAGGTCTGGCGTCCATGTCTCAGCTCCATTACTGAGACCCGAGAAGGTGAATTGATTGGGCCATGGATCCCGGGGCTAAAGAAAGCACAGCCTACATTTGATTAGGCTCTCCCGATCTCTTAGCTGATCTAGTCTGATATTTGGTCCTATTCAAGAAGTACAAACAAATCTCCGATTGAATGACTTGGGTGGATTAGCCAGCATTTTGGACAATCAACATGGCGGCAGGGAAAAAACACCTAGAATCTGGCCTGTGACGTTAACTAGCTGGATGACCATAAGCAAGTCTCAGTTGAGCCTCGGTTTCTTACCTGTTAAACACAAGTGATGATACCCATGGTATCCACCTCCCAGAGTTGTGGTGAGGTTCAAGTGAGATAATGTACATAGAACGCTTGGTAAATTACAAAATGCACAGGACTATAGGGCCAGTTGGGGGGAGTGAGTTTGGGGAGTGCATCTTACAATATCCCTAATGGTCAACTTGCTTCCTGCATTGGCAGGGGACCGAGAGGACCGGACTCAAAGCCACAGACACATGGCTGATTATTGAGGGATGCTTGAATACCATTAGATTGTAAGCTCCTTGAGGTCAGGGACTGTTTTTTTTTTGCTTCTCCAGTGCTTAGCACAGTACCTGGAACTAGTAGGTGCTTAATAAATATTTCTTGAATTGAATGGGAAACGGGTGTGGGAGGGGGTTCCTTGGACACTCTAGCTCAGCTACTTACTACCTCTGTGACTTTAGGCAAGTACTTTAACCTCTTTGTGCCTCAGTTTCCTTGTTCGTAAAATGAAGGGGGGGCTAAACTAGATGACCTTTCCTTTTCCTTCCAACTCCAAGAGACAGAGGGATGAAGAATATGACCTCCAACCCCAAGGACTCTCTAATCCAATCAAAAAAGTGTGGCCAAACCCTAGACAAGATGCCTTTTTAATCCCTTCTATCTTTCCCAACTGCTCTTGGCAATGGCCAGACTCCCTGTTTCCACCTCCCCTCCCCTCTTCCCTCCTGATTGGCTCCCCAAGGTCCCCCCGCCCCAGCCCCCTCTCTCCCCCTTCAGCTCCCCACACATTTTTTCAGGCAGCCTGTCGCCCGCCCATGGTGTGTAGGAGATGAGAGGGGCTGTTTGTTTATTTGTGGGTGCCTAGCCCAGCCCGGCCTATATCCCACCGATCTCCCTCTCTGTGCCCCCCCCCCAACAGGAGGAGGGTAGGGGATGAAACAAGCTGGTGGAAGGAGGGACAAGGTAAGGAGGTCAGCAGGGGAGGCAGGCAGAGGTGGGCCAGGGCCGAGGAAGGGGGAAAATCTCTCTCCTGGGGCCCTGCTGCCCCCAGAACTCCAACCGCACGCATGCATGGGGGCTGGTGCCCAAGCAGCACTCCCAAGCCCCCCCAAACATAACAACCTCACAAACTGTAAATTTGAGAATTTCCCCTGCAGTCAGCTGGAGGAGGAGAAGGTAACATTTTCCTGGCCGGAGACGTGCATGGCTAAGGGCCGGGACGTGGGCCCAGAGGGTTTGCTGAAATAACAGCCCTGGCCCTTCCATGGCCCGGCCAGGCCTCACAATAGCACTTTCATACCGAAATCCCTGGTGGCTGTGGAGGTGGGAGGGAAGGAGGGGAGGAAGGAGTGAGGAGAGAGATGGCCCAGTACAGTCTGAGGGGGGGCGGGTGTTGGGGGTCTGCTCCCACTGGGGACAGAAAACTGGAAGTGGCCTTCGGTGATAGATAGGGACGGGGTCATCTTAACTCACCCCTGCCTCCAAGCTACTAACTTCCCCAGCGTCTTCCCCCTCCCCCACCCCCTTCCCCCACCACGTGCTCACCCCAGAAAAAGGAGGATTTCATAGCTGGCCTCAGTAACTCATTCCAGAAATGAATGAAGTCAGGCAGATAGAAAGATCTCCTTCTGTCTACCCCTAATCTTTCCTGTCTCAGGATCCAAAGGAGATAGGTCTCCAGGTGTTTTTAACCCACTGGAACTCTAAGGAAATAAGGGGAGGGCTGGGATTGGAACCCAGGCCCTCTGACTTTCTTTTCACTACTGGAGAGATGACTTCTTGTCCTACTGATAAAGACACCAACCCAGGGTGCTGCTGGTGCCACTGGGGAGGGCCGAGTGACTATGTAAGGGCTGACAAGGGCACCCAGTCTGGCACAGGAGGTGGGGGATGAGGGAGAAGGCAGGATGCTAAAACATTACTGGAGACTTTGGCTGGAGATAGCTCCTCCAGGGCACAAGAAAGAGTGGTCCGTGGGTGACAGATGTTGAGGGAAGTTAGATGGCACTACCTGGGAGGTAAGGGAAGGAGAAACAGATGGGCTTTGGGAACCAGGGCAAGAAGCCAGAGTACTCATCTCCAGGCCACCTAGCTGGGCCAGGCTAGGTCCCAAGAGCACACACTGGAGTGTCCAAGGGTTCAGACTGGTGCTGCCTCCTTCTCTCCACCCATCCAGGGAAAGCACCCACCCAGTAAGGTCACCTTGACAGGCCCATGACCCTTTGCGGCCACAAGCAGGTCCACCAAGCACCATCTCCCAGGCAGCTGCAGAGAATGACTCCCATCTTACCTATCACTGTCCAAAAGTAACTCTATGGCTCTTCTCCCCATACATAACCTTGATGGACTTCCTGTCCCCATCACTCCCCCCACCCTTCTCTAGAGGATGTTCAGCACTCCCTGGAGCCCCCAGCAAATCTCAGTACAAATACTCAAAATGCCTGGGCAACTCCCTATGTTCAAATCTCAGTTCTAAGACTCAGGAGTTGGGAGGCAGGATGGAGAGAACAGTGGCAAAATCACTGGCTCAAAGGTCAGAAGTCCTAAGTTCAAATCCTACTTTTCCCACATACAACTGATGGAACTAGGCTTGGATTTGATGGCCTCTTCCTTCTTGATCTGGGATCCCAACGGTGGGTCTCATGGTGAATCAACCATTGAGTCACTTTGCCTCTGGCCCTCAGCTTCTTCCTTTGCAAAATGGGGCTGGTCATACATGCTCTTTCTACCTCCCAGGCCTGTTGTGAAGGAAGTACTATAGAAATGTGGCTTATTATTATCATAAGTACTGCATATGATACAATATATAGCATCATAAATACTATACATATTATTCTTATTCCTCATTGACATCATAGTACAGATGGGGAGGGGACCAAGGAAGTAGAATGGAAGCTCCTCAAGGGCAGGAATCATCTCCTTCTTATCTCAGCCCAGTGCAAAGTACATGAGAAACACCTCTGGAGACCCTCCTTTTCCAAGGCCCAGAGGACAGCAGGAACTTGCCTTAGGCTACCAGCATGGAACCAAGCTGAGATGGAGCCCAAGTCTTCTGGCCCCTGTGCCATGACATTGCCTCCAGAACTTGTCCAGAAAGAGCCCTGGACTCCAGCTCAGGGATTCCAGAGCGCTGGTCCATGCGATAGCATGGCAAAGCCAGTGGGCTATTAGGGAGCACTTCCCAGGATGCTGCTGCCCTGAGCACAGTTCTGGGCACACAGTGACTCAATGCCTCATTCTCCCTTAGCTTCATCCCTCCCTGAAAGCCTGCTTCCCCATAGTGATGACCTGATGAATCTCTACTCTCCAAGGAAGTCCCAGGGTCATCAGAGCATGGAGAGACCAGACCAGTCCCCAATATCTACCCACATCCCCTACCTTGCTGGACTCCATCAGGGCAGGGCATTGAGGGGGAGAGTTTGTCTCTTTAGCAGGGACTGAGAGGAATGATAATCAGTGGCCTGAACCTTGAAAGGGGTCAGGCCCTTGTTAGGTGAGGAGGGTGCTCCTCTGGGGAAGGCTGGAGGGGGGCAGGCAGGCAAGAATTAGAGGCAGACAGAGAGAAACAGAGACAGAGATCCAGAGAGAGAAAGAGAAAG